ATATGGAGTAGTTTTGTGCCAAGGGTGAGGATCGAGAGAATTGGGAAGAATGATTTCACTATAGGTTTCAAGGAACATATAGCATAGGAAACAAAGAAGGTGCACCACCAAACTAAGTTTATAATAACTACACTAACAACAGCTACAGGCAGTTACAAATATAAGTTCTGACATAGGGCACCCCACTACAGGCAAGAGCATAAGATAACATTCTGACATTTATAAGCCTTCAAAAAATTCAGGGGAGGTCTAGAGGCCAAGAAAAAGCCTTTAGAAAATATTCAGGTACCTGAGAAGTTGGGCAAAGTACTACGGAGCGTAGAAAAGGGTCGTGCGTTCCGTGGAGTTAATATTCTCTCCCCGCAGCATGTCAGAGTATTATAGCTGATGCATGTTTGTAGGCTATAGTGGGGTAGCACATATGGGGTACAGAGTTTCTAGGGTTGTATTTGTACCCAATCTTTCCTTAGTCATTCATCCCTGTTCGCTTATTCTCACATGGTATAGAGCGGGTCCTTTTACGGACCGTTTTTTTTTGGGCCCACCGAAGCGCCCCCCGAGGCGCGATTTTTTTTAGCGACCCCTCGGGTCGTCATTTTCCCTGCGACCCCGCCGCTTTCACTGACGCGGCCCCGCCGCCCTCTCTGACAGGGCCCCGCCGCCGGCCCTTACGCGGCCCCATCGCCGGCTCTCACGCGGCCCCGCAGCAGGCTCTGTCGCGGCCCCGCCCCGGCCTTTACGCGCCCCCGCCGCCTGCTCTCACGCGGCCCCGCCCCGGCTCCTTCGCGGCCCCGCCGCCTGCTCTCGCGCGGCCCCGCCCCGGCTTCTACGTGGCCCCGCCCCGGCTTTCACGCGGCCCCGCCGACGGCTTTGTCGTGGCCCCGCCCAGGCCCTTACGCGGCCCCGCCACCTGCTCTCACGCGGCCCCGCCCCGGCTCCTTCGCGGCCCCGCCGCCTGCTCTCGCGCGGCCCCGCCCCGGCTTCTACGCGGCCCCGCTCCGGCTTTCACGCGGCCCCGCCGACGGCTCTGTCGCGGCCCCGCCCAGGCCCTTACGCGGCCCCGCCGCCTGCCCCCGTCGCGGCCCGGTCGCCTCCTGACGGCCCCGCCGTCCCTTCGTGACGGCCCCGCCGTCCCTTCCTGACGGCCCTGCCGTCCCCTCCTGACGGCTCCTGCCGTCACCTTCTACCGGCCCCGCAACTGCACCTGCTGGTCCCGCCGCTGCACCTACCGGCCCCCGCCACCCACCCCCCCCTTTTCCCGTCGCCTGAGAGGCCAGCAGAGGGGTGGCAGGTGCGTGGCCTCCCCTGCTTCTCCTCCTCCTTCATCGCTCACCTGCAGCCGCCGAGCCGCCCTTCACCCGAGCCGCCCAGCAGCCGAGCCGCCCTGCCGCCGAGCCGCCGGGTCGCTGAGCTGCTGAGCTGCAGTTGCTGCCGAGCCGCCCTGCCGCCGAGCCGCCGAGTCACCGAGCTGCTGAGTTGCAGTTGCCGCCGAGCCGCCCGAGTCGCCCGAGCCGCCGAGCCGCCGAGCTGCCGAGCCACTGAGTCGCCGAGCCTACTCTTCCCACCACTGGTGAGCTCTTGCCCTGCTAGCACGCTGCGCGTCTACCTGCCTGCCTTTTGGCTTGCCTGGCTGCCTGCCTTCCTGCTGCTAGTCCTGCTCCTGCTTCTCCTTGCGGAGCCAGATGCAGCCCCAGCGACGCCTGCGTGCGTCCCTCACGCCCCAGCACCTGCGTGAGTGGTACGCTGGTTGGGGCTATAGGGGTGGCGACGCTACTCCTACTTCCACTCCTGCTGCTTCTACTCGTGGTGGCGGCCGGATGCAGCTCCCGCGACCCTCTCGCGTGTCTCTCACGCCTCGCCAGCTTCATGAGTGGTACGCTCAGAGTGGAGGGTCTCTCAGTGTTGTTCGCTGCTCTTACGTGATTCGCACTGGTACTCGGACTGGTCAGCCTTGTGGGACACGTAGTCATACACCGTCCCGCTGCTTCGCCCGTCTGAGCGACGCCTGGCGTGCCGTGTTTGGCGACGAGGCTGAGCTTCCCGACTGGGTGGAGTTGCTTAGGCAGAGGGTAGATATATATGCTCTTGACTATGATGCTATTCTCACTGCCATGTATGCATTGCCTACTAGTGCTGACCGTGCCGGTCACCTGTGCGTCCCGCCTGACCCAGGTATAGGACCTGCTGCTCTAGCTACTGGTGAGGCTGCTGCTCTGGGTGCTAGTGAGTCTCCTGCTCCAGGTACAGGTGCGGCTGCTGCTCTAGGTGCTCGTGAGTCTGCTTCCTCAGGTGCGGGTGAGGCTGCGCTCTCAGGTACCGCGTTGGCTTCGGCCTCCCTCACCTTTACACTTGACTCTGGGGCTTCTCGCTCCTTCTTTCGGGACCGCACCACACTCACGCCGCTTGGCCGGCCGGTTGCTGTCTCCCTGGCTGACCCCTCTGGGGGTCCTGTCCTCGCTCACTTCTCCACTGTCCTCCCGTGTCCGGCTGCCCCCTCGGGCACCCAGTCTGGCCTGTACCTCCCCTCGTTCTCGACAAACTTGGTGAGTGGTGCAGACCTACAGGATGCGGGGGTTCACCAGTTCACTCCTGCGAGTCAGCGGGTGACCCACTGCACGGACGCACGCACAGGCCGACACCTGGCCACGTTCTCGCGTCGGCCAGGGTCGAGTCTCTACACCCTGACCGTTGAGTCTCCTCCTGTCCCTGCGTCTGGTCAGGTGGCTGCGTCGGGTCAGGTGCTTGCTGCTGCGTCCCGGTCAGGTCCTGAGTCTGCCCCCTGTTCTTGTCGCCTCCTGTCTCACGAGACTCTCCTGTGGCATCACCGTCTTGGCCACCCCTCCTTGCCCCGTCTTCGGAGCATGGCTTCCCGTGTCCTTGTCTCTGGTCTTCCCCAGTCTCTCCCTCCTCTCCCCTCCGGGCCAGGACCTTCCTGTGTCCCTTGTGTCGAGGGTCGCCTCCGGGCTACTCCTCACTCCTCCCACTTCCCCCCGACAGAGGCTCCCCTGCAGACGCTTCACATGGATGTGTGGGGCCCAGCCCCCGTCCGTGGGCAGGGTCACGAGCGCTACTTCCTGTTGGTGGTTGACGACTACTCGCGTTACACCACAGTCCTCCCCTTGCGTAGCAAGCGTGCGGTCACTGAGGTGCTGATCGACTGGATCCGCGAGGCTCGTCTCCAGCTCAGGAAGAGCTTCGGCTCGGACTTTCCTGTTCTGCGTCTGCACTCGGACAGAGGCGGAGAGTTCTCTTCTCGCCTTCTGCGAGACTACTGTCGTGCACGGGGGATCCGCCAGACCTTCACGCTTCCGGACTCACCACAGCAAAATGGGATTGCTGAGCGCCGCATTGGCATGGTCATGGATGTCGCTCGTACGTCCATGATGCATGCGGCTGCCCCCCATTTTCTGTGGCCGTTTGCGGTGAGGTACGCGGCGCATCAGCTCAACCTTCACCCCCGGGTCTCTCGACCTGCGATGTCCCCAGCCTTGCTGTGGACGGGGAAGGTTGGTGATGCGTCTGTGTTCCGTGTCTGGGGATCTCGGGCGTTTGTCCGCGACTTGTCTGCGGACAAGCTGTCCCCTCGTGCTGCTCCCTGTGTCTTCCTTGGCTTCCCCACTGACGCCCCAGGGTGGCAGTTTTACCACCCCTCCTCTCGTCGTGTTCTGTCCTCCCAGGACGTCACGTTCGACGAGTCAGTCCCCTTCTACCGTCTCTTCCCCTACCGCACTCCTTCCCTCCCCCCTCCCCCGGACTTCCTTGTGCCGGTTCCCCCCCCGGTAGACCCCCTCCCCCCTCAGGTTCCTGCCCCCTCAGGTGTGTCCCAGGTAGACGCCGTTGACCCGGTCGAGGTTACACGTGACTCTGGTGCTGCTGCGGGTGCTGAGCCTGGGGGTGCTGACTCTCGGGGTGCTGTGCGCGGGGGTGCTGAGCCTGGGGGTGCTACTGCTAGGGGTACTGGGCCTGAGGGTGCTACTGCGGAGGGTGCGGAGCCTGGGGGTGCTGAGCCGGGGGGTGCTGTGCCTGGAGGTGCTGGGTCTGGGGGTGCTGGGTCGGGAGCTGCTGAGCCTGGGGGTGCTGCGTCTGGAGCTGCTGCGCCTGGGGTTTCTCCTGCTGCTGCGTCTCGCCGGGAGCCCCTCTCTCCACAGGAGCTGCGCGAGTGGTTCGCTCGCCGCTGGAGGCGTGCTGCTGAGTCTCGAGGTGCTGCTGGAGCTGGAGCTGGAGCTTCTTCGATCGTCGAGGGTGCGGGTGCTGCCGGTCCCGGAGCTGCTGGACCTGCGGGTCCTCCTGGAGCTGGAGCTGCTGAGGGCGTTGGTGTTGAGCCTACTGCTGTTGGTCCTGCCGCTGGAGGTGTGGGTGGCGCTGGTGCTGTCGCTGAGGGTGCTAGTGCTGTCCCTGCTGCGTCTGGAGCTGCTGAGCCTGGGGTTTCTCCTGCTGCTGCGTCTCGCCGGGAGCCCCTCTCTCCACAGGAGCTGCGCAAGTGGTTCGCTCGCCGCTGGAGGCGTGCTGCTGAGTCTGGAGGTGCTGCTGGAGCTGGAGCTGGAGCTTCTTCGACCGTCGAGGGTGCAGGTGCTGCCAGTCCCGGAGCTGCTGGACCTGCGGGTCCTCCTGGAGCTGGAGCTGCTGAGGGCGTTGGTGCTGAGCCTACTGCTGTTGGTCCCGCCGCTGGAGGTGTGGGTGGCGCTGGTGCTGTCGCTGAGGGTGCTGGTGCTGTCCCTGCTGCGTCTGGAGCTGCCACGCGGCCTCGGCCGTACTTTGTTCCGCTCCTGCAGCAGGTTCTTGGTCTTTCTCCTCCAGTAGAGGGTCCACCGCCTGTCCAGTCGCAGTCTCTACTGGAGCCTTCCTCTCCACTGCCTGCTCCCTCTCCTTACACTGGTCCTACTGGAGGTATTGCTGAGCGTCGTGAGCCTGCGTCTCGTCCCGCGTCGCCTGTTCGTGCTGCTCGCGCTAGTGGTCGCAGTTCGCGTCAGCGTCCTCCTCCTGTCCCTGGCACGCACCGGATGTCTTTGCGTCCGTCCACTGCTCCTCTGCGTGCCCCTTTGCCTTCTCCTCCTGAGTCCTCTCTTCCTGCGCTTGCCGACCCTGAGTCGGACTCTCTTCGTGCTGCCAGCCCTACTGTCACGCGTCTGCTTGCTACTGTTGTCACTGACCCCTCTTTTGAGTCCACTGCTGCGTCTGCTCTAGTCGCTGAGCTCGTCGACTTTGCTGCTCGCTGTCGTCTCGACTACGCTGCTAGTCTTGTTGCTGAGTCTGCGTCTGTCTGTCCTCCGTCCGTCGGGGGTGAGTGTGCTCTTGGCACGGACGTCCTAGAGGACAGGCAGGAGGAGTTACAGTGTCTAGCGGCTGCTTCACCTCATCTCGCGTCTGTTCTGCTTGCCCTTGAGGGAGACCCGGATGCACTAGACATCCCGACTCCGCGTTCTTACGCGGAGGCCGTAGAGGGTCCCTACTCCTCTCAGTGGCAGGCAGCTATGGATGCAGAGATGGCTTCCTGGAAGTCCACAGGCACCTACGTTGACGCGGTTCCCCCTCCTGGGGCGAACATCGTCAGTGGCATGTGGATCTTCAGGGTGAAGCGGCCGCCGGGCTCTCCACCTGTCTTCAAGGCACGGTACGTTGCTCGTGGCTTCAGTCAGCGGCAGGGAGTTGACTACTTTCAGACCTTCTCTCCCACCCCGAAGATGACTACTCTTCGGGTGCTGCTGCATTTAGCCGCTCAGCGCGACTACGAGCTTCACTCTCTCGACTTCAGCACTGCGTTCTTGCAGGGTAGCCTGCACGAGGAGATCTGGCTTCGCCGTCCACCTGGCTTCACTGGGACTTTCCCTCCTGGCACCCAGTGGAGCCTCCGACGGCCAGTCTACGGTCTCCGCCAGGCACCGCGTGAGTGGCACGACACACTGAGGACTACGCTTGCGGCTCTTGGGTTTGCTCCTTCTACTGCTGACCCGTCGCTGTTTCTTCGCACCGACACTTCCCTGCCGCCGTTCTACATCCTCGTGTACGTCGACGACTTGGTCTTTGCCACAGCGGACACTGCTGGACTCGCCTACGTGAAGTCCGAGCTGCTGAAGAGACACACGTGCACAGACCTGGGTGAACTGCGCAGCTACCTTGGCTTGCAGATCACTCGGGACAGAGCACGCCGCACCATTACCCTGACTCAGTCACACATGGTGCAGCAGGTCCTTCAGCGCTTCGGCTTTACGTACTCCTTGCCTCAGGCCACTCCTCTGCCTACTCGCCACTCACTCTCAGCTCTGCCTTCGGATGAGTCCGTAGAGTCGAGTGGTCCGTATGCAGAGCTTGTTGGCTGCCTCATGTACCTGATGACCTGCACACGACCTGACCTTGCATACCCTCTGAGCATTCTTGCACGCTATGTTGCTCCTGGGAGACACAGACCGGAGCACATGGCTGCAGCGAAGAGGGTATTGCGCTACTTGTGCAGTACGTCGGGCATGGGGCTAGTGCTTGGAGGGCGGAGTCCAGTGGTCCTTACCGGCCACGCGGACGCTTCTTGGGCTGACGACCAGGCTACGCAGCGGTCGTCACAGGGTTACACCTTCAGCCTTGGTTCCGGCTCTGTCTCGTGGCGGTCTACTCGCTCGTCTTCAGTTCTCGGCTCCAGTTGTGAGGCTGAGATCTACGCCGGGGCCATGGCTGCACAGGAGCTTCGCTGGCTCACCTACCTGCTGACTGACCTTGGAGAGCCGCCTCGTTCTCCTCCAGTGCTGTACGTAGACAACAAGGCCATGCTGGCCTTGTGTCGAGAGCAGCGCTTGGAGCACAGAACGAAGCACATTGCTCTCCGCTACTTCCTTGCTCGTGAGCTGCAGCAGCGTGGTCAGTTGCGACTTGCGTACGTGGCCTCTGAGGCCAACACTGCTGATGTGTTCACCAAGGCACTCGCGCCTTGTGACCATCAGCGCTTTTGCACCCAGCTGGGTCTTGTACTTGTCTTGCCTCACTTGCTCTCCTCTTGACTTCACTTGTACTGTGACATATATATATACCTGCTCTTGCTTGTCTAGTTTTATATATATGTCCGTACTCCTGCATGTGAACTGGCCTCTGGCCCTGTGGTGACTTTGTGATCCACCCTGAGCTTGTTTTGCTTTGCTTTGCTTGACTGGTCTTGTGACCCCTTGTTCTCCCCCACTTAGCCTATGGGGGTGTGTCAGAGTACTATAGCTGATGCATGTTTGTAGGCTATAGTGGGGTAGCACATATGGGGTACAGAGTTTCTAGGGTTGTATTTGTACCCAATCTTTCCTTAGTCATTCATCCCTGTTCGCTTATTCTCACACAGCACAGTGTTAAGGCTCCCCGTTGCCCACAGGTGAAGCCTACACAGCTGCCAAGGCTTAGAGAAGACATCCAGGCTCAGGAGAAATTATACAAGCCTCGGAAAAATCCTCCTACCTGTCAAATTATAATGTTGTCTAGGCTTTAGTGGGGTAGCCCATATGGGGCACACATTTCTAGGGTTGCATATTTGTATCACTTTCATTCCATAGTCATTTCATTCTCGTTCTAATTTCCTCATGGTATCGAGCAGGTTCCCCCGTGGGAACTGTGCCTAGGGCCCACCACATCGAGTTTTTTTTTTTTTCCTGCCCGAAGCGCGCTCAGCCTGAGTCGCGCTCTGGGCTCTCACTTCGTCGAGCCGCCCTAGCGGCCCCAACGCCCTAGCGGCCCCGCAGCCCGTCGATTCGGCCCCGCCGCCCTTCGCTGCGGCCCCGCCGCCCTTCGCTGCGGCTCCGCCGCCCTTTGCTGCGGCCCCGCCGCCTCTCTCGCTGCGGCCCCGCCGCCCTTCTCAGCGGCCCCGCCGCCCTTCGCTGCGGCCCCGCCGCCCGTCTCAGCGGCCTCGCCGCCCTTCGCTGCGGCCCCGCCGCCCTTCGCTGCGGCCCCGCCGCCTCACATTGCAGCCCCGCCACCTTTCCCTGCGGCCCCGCCGCCTCACACTGAGGCCCCGCCGCCCGTCTCAGCGGCCCCGCCGCCCTTCGCTGCGGCCCCGCCGCCTCTCTCGCTGCGGCCCCGCCGCCCTTCTCAGCGGCCCTGCCGCCCTTCTCAGCGGCCCCGCCGCCCTTCTCAGCGGCCCCGCCGCCCTTCTCAGCGGCCCCACCGCCCTTCTCTACGGCCCCGCCGCCTCTCTCACTGCGGCCCCGCCGCCCTTCTCAGCGGCCCCGCCGCCCTTCACGGCGGCCCCGCCGCCCTTCACTCCGGCCCCGCCGCCCCTCCCACTGCGGCCCCGCCACCTACCTTGCGGCCCCGCCGCCGCCCGCGCCGCCCGAGCCGCCCGAGCCGCCCGAGCCGCGCGAGCCGCCTGAGCCGCTGAGGAGCCGAGCCGCCCGAGCAGCCCGAGCCGCCCGACCTGCCCGAGCCGCCCGAGCCGCCTGAGCCGCTGAGGAGCCAAGCCGCCCGAGCCGCCCGGCTCGTCCGAGTCGCCCGAGCCGCCTGAGGAGCCGAGCCGCTGGTGCCGCGGAGCCGCAGTTGCTGCTGAGCCGTCCGAGCAGCCGTGTTGCCGTGTTGCTGTGCTACTGAGCTGCCCGAACCGCCCTGTCTGGTGAGAGCAGCGCTTCTGTCACTGCACTGCCCCTGTCCTACAGTTGGTACAAGTCTACTGTTGTCATGGCTACCCCTAGTGTCCTCGCGTTTGACGCTGAGGGTCGAGCCATTGACTTTGAGTTCTGGGTCGACGACCTGCAGCTGTTCTTACAGTGCGATAGGGCAGACGGTCTCTCTCTCTTTGACCTCACCTCTGGCGCCTCTCCGGCCCCTGCTGCTGATGCTGACCCCACTGTTCGCTCCCAGTGGGCCACGCGCGATGCTGCTGCACGTCTTGCTGTGCGTCGCCACCTGCCTACCACTGAGCGCGCGCACTTTAGTCAGTACAAGAGTGCTCAGACCTTGTACGACGCTGTAGTTGCGCGCTACTCTTCCCCTGCCACTGCTGCACTGAGCCGCCTCATGCTACCGTACCTCTTCCCTGACCTTGCTGCCTTTCCCACAGTCGCTGACCTCATTACGCACCTCTGCACTAGTGACACTCGCTACCGCGCCGCGCTTCCTGCTGAGTTCTGCGCCAAGAACCCCCCCCCCCCATGTACATCACTCTCTATTATATAGTCACCCGCCTCCCTGACTCTCTTCGTGTAGTCAGGGACCACTTCCTCTCAGTCTGTCCCACCACTCTCACTGTTGACCTCTTAAAGAAGGCCCTCCTAGCAGCGGAGAAGAGCATAGTCGCTGTAGGAGCCTCTCGTGGTGACCCTCACACCCCCATCTTTGAGGGGTGTTCTCCTTCCCCCCTTTTGCCCTCTGTCGCCTCTGCCGCTGCGGCCGACCTCGTTGGTCTTGAGCCGGTCGGTGCGGCGTCTACCCCTAGCGGGAGACGCCGCTCTGGCAAGGGCAAGGGGGGCAAGGGCACGGGTGGAGCTAGCGGGGGCGGTGGAGGTGGCGGTGGAGGCGGCGGAGGGAGTGGGGGTGGCGGTGGGAGTGGTGGCAGGGGTGGAGGTGTCGGTGGCAGCAGTGGAGGCGGAGGCGGTGCTAGCGGAGGCGGCGGTGGTGGCGGAGGTGGAGGAGGCGGTGGTGGAGGAGGTGGCGGTGGTCGGGGTGGCGCTTCGCAGCGGAGCAGCCCTGGTGGTGGTCAGCGCCAGCAGCAGCAGCAGCAGCAGCGTTCTCGGGACATTCCCCCCCCTCAGCAGCTCCGTGAGTGGTACGCGCACCGTCAGCGTGGTGGGGGTTTTGGTCCCTGCACCTACGTCCTTCGCTCCAGCGACCGCGCGGGTGAGCAGTGTGGGGGTGCCCACCCCACCCAGCGCTGCTTTGGCCGCCTGACGGACGCTTGGCGTCAGCAGTTCCCGGAGGCCATTGAGATCCCCCGCTGGGGAGAGCTTTCTAGGGCAAGCGTAGCTATCTATGATCTTGACTTTGATGCTATCCTTGCTGCCATGTATGCTGTGACTATTAGTGATGAGGGTGACTGTTACCGGTGTTTCCCGCCCGACCCGGGCATTGGTACTGCTGCTCTAGGTGCTGGTGAGGCTGCTGCTCTAGGTGCAAGTGCGTCTGCGCCCTCAGGTGCTGGTGAGTCTGCGCTCTCAGGTACCACGTCGGCTTCGGCCTCCCTCACCTTCACACTTGACTCAGGGGCTTCTCGCTCCTTCTTTTGAGACCGCACCACACTCACGCCGCTTGGTCGGCCGGTAGCAGTCTCCCTGGCAGACCCCTCTGGGGGTCCTGTCCTCTCTCACTTCTCCACTGTCCTCCCGTGTCCGGCTGCCCCCTCTGGCACCTTGTCTGGTCTTTACCTCCCCTCGTTCTCTAAGAACTTGGTGAGAGGTGCTGACCTGCAGGATGCGGGGGTTCACCAGTTTACTCCTGCGAGTCAGCGGGTGACCCACTGCTCGGACGCTCGCAGAGGCCGGCACCTGGCCACGTTTACGCGTCGGCCGGGGTCGAGCCTCTACACCCTGACCACTGGGTCTCCTCCTGTCCCTGCGTCTAGCCAGGTAGCTACGTCGGGTCAGGTGTTTGTTGCAGCGTCCAGGTCTGGTCCTGAGTCTGCCCCCTGCTCGTGTCGCCTCCTGTCTCACGAGACTCTCCTGTGGCACTACCGTCTTGGTCACCCCTCCCTGCCTCGTCTCCGAGGCATGGCTTCCCGTGTCCTTGTCTGTGGTCTCCCCCGGTCCCTCCCTCCCCTTCCTCCAGGGCCTGGTCCTTCCTTTGTTCCCTGTGTCGAGGGGCGGCTGCGGGCTGCCCCTCACTCCTCTCAGTTTCCCCCGACAGAGGCCCCGCTGCAGACGCTTCACATGGACGTGTGGGGCCCGGCCCGCGTCCGTGGACAGGGTCACGAGCGCTACTTCCTGCTGGTGGTTGACGACTACTCGCGTTACACCTCAGTCTTCCCCTTGCGCAGCAAGGGTGATGTCACTGAGGTGTTGATCGACTGGATCCGCGCAGCTCGTCTCCAGCTCAGGAGGAGCTTCGGCTCGGACTTCCCTGTTCTGCGTCTGCACTCTGACCGAGGCGGAGAGTTCTCCTCTGGCCTTCTGCGAGCCTACTGTCGTGCACGAGGCATCCGCCAGACCTTCACGCTTCCGGACTCTCCACAACAAAATGGGATTGCTGAGCGCCGCATTGGCATGGTCATGGACGTCGCCCGTACGTCCATGATGCATGCGGCTGCCCCCCATTTCAATGGCCGTTTGCGGTTCGGTACGCAGCGCATCAGATCAACCTTCACCCCAGGGTCTCCATGCCGGAGACCTCCCCAGCTTTGCTGTGGACGGGGAAGGTTGGCGATGCGTCTGCGTTCCATGTCTGGGGATCTCGGGCGTTTGTCCGCGACTTGTCTGCGGACAAGCTGTCCCCTCGTGCTGCTCCTTGCGTCTTCCTTGGCTTCCCCCCTAACGCGCCAGGGTGGCAGTTCTACCACCCCACCTCTCGCCGTGTTCTCTCCTCCCAGAACGTCACGTTTGAGGAGTCGGTCCCCTACTACCGCCTCTTCCCCTACCGCACTCCGTCCCTCCCCCTGCCACCGCTCTTCCTTGTGCCAGGTCCCCCCCCGGTAGACCCCCTCCCCCCTCAGGGTCCTGCCCCTTCAGGTGTGTCCCAGGTAGACGCAGATGAGCCTGTCGAGGTTACTGGTGACTCTGGTGCTACTGAGGGTGCTCGGGCCTGGGGGTGCTGACTCTGGGGGTGCTGAGCGTGTGGGTGCTACGCCTGGGGGTGCTGAGCCTGAGGGTGCTACTACTGGGGGTGCTGAGCCTGGGGGTGCTGAGCCTGAGGGTGCTGCGTCTGGAGCTGCTGAGCCTGGGGGTGCTGCGTCAGGAGCTGCTGAGCCTGGGGGTACTGAGTCTGGAGCTGCTGAGCCTGGGGGTGCGGAGCCCGCGGCCGCTGGACCTGCTCGTGTGGCGTCTGGCGGTGCTGGGCCTGGTGGTTCTCTGGGTTCTTCGTCTCGGCGGGAGCCACTCTCTCC